AGTCTTCTTGCGTCAATCAGTTCGGATGAGGCGGTGGAGATCCAATGGCTTTTACTAACTTGAGGTTTTAGCTTATTAACAGCTTTCACAGCTGTGTCTACAGTTAACTGTATGTTGTGCCAGGCTACCTGAGGGGAAGTCGTGCTATCGACCTCAGAAACTCGTTTCGCTATTTCTTCCTTAAATGAGGACTCAGTGTCTCGATCTAGTTAGGGACGTAACTGTTTCGCTGCCGTCAATTTCTTATGTCCATTTAGTCGTAAGCATAAACGTGCGCGAACCAGAGGGTGATCAGTTTCCACGCACGTGTTCCAGAGGGGCGACAGTCTTCTACTGACCCTCGCCAACGATACCCTATGACAATGTAGTCCATCTGAGCCCAGTGTTGATTTGGTGATGGAGTTCGCCAGGTTACACAATGTCTGTCTTTGTGCCTAAAGTTAGTGCTGAATAGGAACAGATGATTACCTGAGCAAAACTGTAGAAGACGATCAACGTTGTCGATTCGTCGGCAGGGAACTCCATACGTACCACCTACATACTTCTCAGTCTGGCACAACTTCCCTAATTGGGCATTGAAGTTGCCTGCTTTACCAACTACAACTGAACGTTTTGCTTTTTGCAGCAAATTAGAGAGTTTCAGGTAGAAGTCATCCTTTATTTCATCCGAACTGCAGTCCGTCGGGGCGTAAGTAGAGACTACGAAAACGCAACGACGAGTAGCGCCATCTCTCCTTCTTTTAACGGTCCCGTTCAGACGGACCGAACACATACGACTATCTACTGGGATCCAGTCAAGAAGTGATTTTTCCGCCCTAACACTCAGTGCTATTCCTACTCCTGCGAGTCCTCGCGAGCTAGCTGAGGGGTCTCCTGACACGCTTAAAGTGAATTTCGCAGGTTCACCTTGTTGACCGGGTGAGGTTCAGTGAATGACCACACTCGGGTCTTGTATGCGTGTCTCCGAAACACAACATACATCTATGACTCGAGATTCCAGAGTTCTTGCTAGTGATGCCTGTTGTCCGATTTGGCAGAGAGTCCTGACGTTGAAAGCTCCTATATGAAGTTGGCGACGTGGCTTTAAAAGGCTATCTGGGGTGTTTCTATGACTCTCACCGTTGTTTGTGGCCACAGAGTGAAGTGAAGATGACTCGCTAGCCTGCAGAATAGTTCTAACTGTAGTAGAGAAGCAAGATGAGAAAGGTGATGTGAGTAAAGGAGAATGATGTTCAGGAAGGCTTCATGTGCTTTTGGAAGTGTGTGGGCAGTTGTTACTTCCTGGCTGCCCACACCGTGGAAGTTGATTGATTCTTCGAGTGCCTGAAACAGAAAGTCCTGCGTGACCGCAGAGCCCAGGGGATAGCTGCTTGAGGCCGGTCACACACGGCCTGTGTGAATTGTTTTCTAGGATTGGTTCCGTATTAGTAAACGTACCGCCGGTTACGGATCACCGTAGGGTAAGTCGGGATGTACAATTTTTGGGGTCGACCTTTTCTAACCCATTTCTCCAGAGTGGAGAGACAGCATAGCTGGCATGCTAGTCATCTGCGGAAAACACTTCACTGCTGTACACTTCGCTCTTAGACCCCCAGCAGAGTATAAGAAAGATTCTTACACAATGCCGGTAACTGCTTTTAGTCTAATATCTATCCTAACAATCTTCCTGGCATGGCAGGACCTGCAGGAACATTGGTTCCAGCCAGTGGAGCTAGTTGGGTCATCGCGATGAGCAAGCCCGACCACCACGTCAAGGTAGCAGCTATCGCTCGGGGGTCGTAAGTGTACAAATATTTATTTATCTTGTACCAGGAAAATATTTAGTCAATGTATATCCAATATATGATATTAGACGAGAAATACCAAGAACGTTGTTTTATTCTACCTTGTCGTCTAGTTTGCAGACTTATTTAAGATTTGGTTCCTTGGAATAATTTAGACAGGCTAATCTGAACTGATTGTTTGGAATAACTGAATGTTTTCGTTGAAAGTTCACAAGTCCTCAACAGTGATAAAATCAAACTGATTTGATCAGTCACACGAATATCAGAACCACTCTAAATGAAAGACATTTCTAGCACTACTTTTTTCACACAAAACTTGAATCTATTTATGAGTGTATGACCTTTCTGTCTTTCTGAAAAATACCTTCTTCCTGATTAAATCAAGTCTACCCGGAGAAACATTGATCAGTGCATTCATGCATGGACTTGAATGATTGTACTTGTGTGCAGCTTCTAAGGGCTATAACTAGCCTTTTCAAAATAATGGACGCTATCATATCAAACCTTATATAGTTGTAGTATTATTGCAATATTTATAATCAATGTTCGTAAAGCCACAGCAAGTAGCTCGTATGCAATGTCAAAATAATTATGGGCTACAAAGTCAAAATGTTAGTTAGTCACTGATGAGATGATCTGCCGTGCGATTTACATACCCGCGGTGTCTTATGAGTTAGTTGAGTTAATGTTCTTATCTCTGATCATCCGACGCAGTTTATTGCAAACACAACAACTGAGTACTAGTATAAACCTGTGGGTAACTATGTGTGGCCCGTAGCTCGGTCCACACAATTGTAACGAGTCGTTGAATTATAAAGTAGTGTTACCTAAACCCTGCACATAGGCGATCATATCTGCAGCTGGTAATACTATGACTGTTAAGGGAGCATAATTAAAGCTGCTCATTTGACAGATTATATTAATATTACTTGCATAGGAGCTGTAGTCCAGTCACCAATAGACAAAACAGAAAAAGGATTGATTCTCTCCTTCACTAGTGCAACTAAAAAGTGAAAATTTTCCCAAAAGTGTATCAGTTTAAGTTTCGGGACTTCGAGAAAGAACACATGGAATTGAAACAAGGATATATATATATATAGAACCTGATGAATGACAAGGAGTGAATCAATACACCTGAGCCGTTTAAAACGATTGTAAGCCATGTCACAAGGAATCGCCGACCATGGGATCTTAGCAACTCCAGGATACCAACTAGGCTACAGGTCAATGACTTCATGGATTGATACCATGTTTTTGCATGACTACCTTTATTTTTCTACCTGATAAGCCATTTAATTTGGATAATAAACCTTATTATCACACCGTTCATAATTAGCACTATGTATGTCCTGCGACTTTTACGTACATTCATGCTTATGCTTCCTGGCTGGTCAGTCTTCACTCTGACTGCCTCCGCTTTTCCACTTGATAATACTACTTCAGCTAATATTGCTAATCGAGATCCACCGTAGCCTAGAATTAATTATACATGTCAGAGACACGTTAACTTAAATAGTTTGATAACACCGTCAACTTCTCCTCCTTACTTAATATTCTAAGCTTAACCTCATTATCAATTACCATATTGCCGCATCTAAGAAGAAAAATCCAGCGCAGACAACTATACTGCGTACTCAAAACTAATGAGACCTTTACTTGATTGGCAACCTGTCATAAGAACTGAAATAAATACGGGCACGCATATCGTAGCATCTGTAAAATAGTTATATATGTGTGATAGATAACATAATACAAGCTATCTATAAGCTCTTTCACGGAAGCATGAAGTTCAATAGAGTGACTTGATTAACACACTAAACACTTTAATATCCCATTTACGTTAACTTGTAATCGAAATACCTGTCCAATCGACAGGTATTGGATAAATCGAAAGTTCATGAAGGGAAATGTAGGACGAGGAAGATATCGTCAAATGTGTGTGTTTTCAAGGGCTTCCAAAAGACTGAAAATATGATAAATGTTGAGGAATAAAATCTGCGTGATTTGTTCTTACAGGTCGTCACTTAATTTGCCTACGAAAAACAGAACACGTCGCCTTAGATACATTAGGTAAGCTGATTCACTTGAGGTTAACAGTTATTATAAGTTTTAGAACTGTTTCAGACACCAGTGTACACTAACTAGTACCACAGCAATAAACCTATCAACGGAAATCTTTTGAAATGCACTACTTTTAGTGGTGACATAACACACAAACTGCTTTAGAGTGAACTGCTAAACTGTAAATATGGAATCTGATGGGTCGCTCGATATTACGCAGACTGAAAAAATGATGAAAATTCGCAATTATTAGAAACGCATTTTGCATCTTAATCTATATCTTGTCACGCAACACTGTAGACGTATTCTCACCGACACAAATCACGCAATACAATTAGAACAGAAGTCTGAAAATATGATCAAAAAACCGATCTGCAATCTCCAGCAGCGACATTTCCATGGTTGATGGTTCCCAAAGTTCATTTCGCATTCATTCTTTCCAAAAACACACTACATTCTTTGAAAGCATGCGTTGGTGGTGCAGAGGTAGAACGCTGGCCAACAATGCACGTGGTCCAGGGCTCAAGCCCCGGCCGGTGTACACCATTACCTTCCATAGCTGGTTACAACCTGAACAAGGAGGGAAGGTTGGTTGTGAAGATGGCAACTCCATGCCGTAAAAGCACCATTGCTACTGAGACTTCAAAGCGAGAGCTTGAAGCCCTATGTTCCACTGGGAACGTGAAGGAATAAAAAAATATATTCTTTGAAATCAATGAATAAGACTTCTCACACAGATTATATGAATATGTGACCATTTGGAAGTAATGGGGAAGAAATACCGGAATTAATGACAGTTTAGTGATTGGAAAACTATTCCGTTCCAATTAACTAGCTGGATAGGTGGGTAACGCGGAAACTGCATAGTTAGTATCTGCTTATGCTTTGGACGTAAAACAATATAACGACCAATAACGTTTCTTTCTTAATTCCACTATAAATTTAGTTAAAGGTATGTATATGTGAAAAATGGATCCAGTTTAAGTTTTCAAATCACTTTGAAAATATGACTCAGTTCAATTTGTGTATACACTTACACACTCGATAGTACAAAACACAATCGAGATGAAACGAAAATGAGCCGAAAGAATAATAAAACATTAATAATTACGTTTTTATGAGTAAAGAATTGAAAAAAAATCCTTTGAGCCTTACCGTATTTCTTTGCAAGTTATTGTTTTAACAGCTTCTTTGTACACGTTGAGAATGTGTGAACACTGTTTTCGAAAATTGGAATTTAAAGTACCAGTTAAATCCTTGAAGGTGTATGCCAGTAAAATGGGGCAAACTAAAAATGGGGCGTCTCTGTAAAAATAAACAACTGGAACTTAGGAGACTTAATGATGTGAATCAGTAGTTTGAGAGAAAATAAGAACAAACGCTACATCAGACCACAACAAAGTGTACATATCAGTCTACTTGCTCTAGCATAGATGAGTATATTCACCGTAATATATGTCAATTTGCAAAAAATGCTAGTGAACATTAGCCAGCATGGCTGGAAGAAGCGGACTGGAACTGTATTTTTAGTTCGATAATGGAACACGATGTGAACTCGGAATACTCAGCTCCATTTGAGGAATCCTTCAAAGTCTTATGCAAGATCTGAGCAGTAATTTTGAAGGGGACGAAATCTAGACAGCTGAGCATTAACCATGGAGAAACTCAGACGAGTGCTATGGTGAGCATGGACATTCCAAATAAGCAACCCATTCATATTCAAAAGATACTTCAATAGTGAACGACAACCAAATGAAATAATCAAATGATGGTGCGTCGGTGGCACAGTGGTTAGGACTCTCGCCGACCATGCACATGGTCCGGGGTTCGAGCCCGCATCGACGCACATCTGATATCTATGGTCGGCCTGCGAAATTTGGGCTACCGATATCCATGCTGAAAATTCCATACTTGTACCGAAAATACAGTGTGGAATCAAGCTGTAAATCAAAAAATATAATAAAAACAAAAATATTGGAGTCGATCAAATCGAGTCGTTTACTATCTTTGTATGACAACTTTAAGTCCAGTTCATACCATCTGTATTAGTCTTTCGAAACCATCCAGATAATTAGAATACGTTTTGTCTAGAAAAAAGTACATTAAAAATTATTGAGGAGTACAGTGTTCTCCAGAAGCTAGGAAACACGTTTTCTTTACAGAGATTTGTCATGAATCTACTATTTTTTTAACAGATGTCTCTAGCAAAATAAAGATGTTTGTATCGAAAGGACCTGCTAATCAATAGTTAACTAATACAAAGTCCCATACAGCTCATAAATAATCTATAGTGTATTGTGAAGCAATAATTCTTTTAAGTAGAGTGAAATAAATGCCTAGAACAAGAAAGTATACAAATAAATTATGCGATAAAAGAGCTAACTAACCTTTGATAGCCTTCACTTGAATGTGTATCCGCATATACGGAATTTACAAAGTCTAACCACTAAATCAAGAAAAGGAAAATAATACGAACTAACCCCAAAAGCAAGTCATAATCAGGTGCATATTAAGAGAAAAAGTAACTATTGCTTATTAAATAAATGTTGGAGATTACTAGATGACTTAAAAGCTCTGATATTTCATTATGTTTGGTGATTTTATGAACTGCAGCAACTACACACGTGCATAATCAAGGTTTGAAGGCTTAGTGGAGCACAAAAGACAACATCAATCCTAATCCTGAAGTGTATTTTATTTAAAACACAAAACCTGGTATAATATAGACAGCAAGATGATACGCCACACAATAATAATAAAATAACATATAGAGAAAATAGGGAGAGAATGAATCAACGATTTCATCTAGGAAGAAAGCAGTTAAATTTAACAAGACCAAACAGCATTCGTCGAATTGTTCTCCTAAAATGAAGAAGGAAGGGAATCACAGCACGTTCACCATTGGTTGTGACTGCGATTCTCGGCATTATCTGATAACATCTCGAGCCACTGATTCTAGGTATCTCTCGGACCCCAACAAGGGAGTCATGAGACACCAACCGATGCTTACCTGTCACAAATATCCACCTGAGTTACAAATCTCTTCTATTATTACAAATATCCTTCATCCGACGACACCACGTCACTAGTTGACCACCACTGCACTCTTCAACCCCACCCCAGGGCTAGAGAACCGAGAACAGTACGGAAGCCTCAGGGATGACATTCGTAGTACAAGTCCAAGCTGCCGAAGCCGGTGTCTTCAGACGACGACACTCAATGAATGGTGACCTCCACCGAACCTCAGAGTTACTCACGCGATGATGCCATTGAACGAAAGCAATCTTGCGGAGACAGCGATGATCGAATACCCAGAGCCACCGCACATCCTCACACAGGTTTCACACACGTAGAGCAAGACAGCCCGCACTGAGGCTTTGTATGTCCAACCTTTGACAACCAGAGGTGGTTCAAATTAATGTATACCACCCTAGCTTTCATGAAACGGTTGGAAATTTCATTCGTCACACCTCCACCAGCACTCACACAACTACCCAGATACACAAACTTGTCAACATTCTCAGTCTCCCATACTGATGGAGCCACGAGGCAAAATTTGAGAAGTTAATGACTAATATTTTTATTACCATTGCCATTATACATTCACGAAATTTTAATCCACATAACTTTTGAATATGGGATTTCAAGTGTAACTTACTAAAAAGATGATACAACCTCATTTTACCAGAAAAATGTGCTATCTAAAAACATCTTCCAATGAGGAGTAAATGAAACTGAACCGTCACGGAAAAATTAACTGGATAGAATACATCCGCATTTTAGTTCAGCCACCAACATCTCGTTGTTTATTCTCTCCACCTACTACTACAGCTCTTAGGAAGATTGTTTATCGGTTAAACTGGTGTGTAGAGATGATTGCTATCCGCCAACCATATCAAACCTGTGAAACAGTGAAAATACTCTTCAGCAAGTCTGATAAGTACTTCACATAATGGAACCCAATACTCAAGTGAGTTTTAATGAAAGTCAACCAATAAAATGCTGTATTTTGAGAATATCATTCACTTTTCATTGCGAAATACTGCTATAGGATAGAGGATAACGATTCTGTCAAGTTAAGAAATAAGGAAAGTGTCAGATGTTGGTGAGTACACTTCGGTTACAAGATTCATTACATGAGTGAATACATCGGTCTATGAGCCAAAATTTTTTTATAGCTCAAGATGATACATTTATGCATTTATAAAGTTGTTGATGAGTAATTCGATAGATCACAGTGTATGTATGTATGTATGTATGTATGTATGTGTGTGTGTATGTATGTATGTATGTATGTGTGTGTGTGTATGTATGTGTGTATGTATGTATGTATGTATGTATGTGTGTATGTATGTATGTATGTGTGTATGTATGTATGTATGTATGTATGTATGTATGTATGTGTGTGTGTGTATGTATGTGTGTATGTATGTATGTATGTATGTATGTATGTGTGTATGTATGTATGTATGTGTGTATGTATGTATGTATGTATGTATGTATGTATGTATGTATGTGTGTATGTATGTATGTATGTATGTGTGTGTGTATGTATGTATGTATGTATGTGTGTGTGTGTATGTATGTGTGTATGTATGTATGTATGTATGTATGTATGTATGTATGTATGTATGTATGTATGTATGTATGTATGTATGTATGTATGTAGCAAAGTTGTCAAAGAAAAAACGCAAATATGTCATTTCGTAAGTAGTTATTCCAACGTATCGAGATAGCCTAGTAACAGTCTAGAAACAGTTATTCAAATTTCTGTGGAAAAATAGTGTATCAGATTAACATCCCATTCAATTCTGACAGCAACAGATCATAAAATAATATGGTTTTAAAATTGCAGAGGCATTAACTACATATAATAAGGAATTTATTTTAAGCAAATGAACAAGAACACATATTACTACCTTAGACAGAATATTTTTCTGACTGTTAACCCGTTCAGCATTAGAAAGTGGTGCAGTTTTACTATCAACTAGTAGACCAATCTGATCTTGAGTTATAAGCTGTAAAACATGAGTACGAAAGTCCAATGATGGGCTGTTAAGTACAACAGTCTGTAAAATGAAAACAAAAAAAATGATTTCGTGAGACATTATACAGTTAAATAATATGTCAATAACACGTTCAAGATCCCTTTTAGCATTGGAATCTCGCAAATGAACACGAAAAGTTACACTGCAGTGACTAGGGTATAATTTATAAAGAAGTCAGCTGACTTAACAACGTTACGCGGGAAAATAAAATACTTGCTCAATGTATTCGGAACTTCACCTGATACCTTGATTATTAACTTTAAAATTAGTATATACCTTCTGAATTGATTCATTCGGTCAACTCAGTATAATTCTGTTAGCTAGCTGGAGCCTTGACTACCGATATTTTTTATACCGAAGGAACGAATAAGAAAAACTGGTCAGTATCTTACTAACTTAGAACCAACAACTGGACAATATATGCACCACATTTTGTCATTAAAATGGCTATAAAAATCACTCAACTTTTGTCTTAATACTTTCCTCATCATAGTACTATTCATCTAACTGTTGTGACGATATTGAGAAATTGAGAAAGAAAGACAGATATGCATGTGTCTGCATTACTATATTTAACTGTACTAACAAACACTTTTACAGATCGTCTGGACAGCTATGCTATTAAGCTAGGCTTCCATAATTCATTCATTGCCATACGAAATACGAATCAAAAATAACAGATTTCGCTACAGTTTTTCATTTAATTATATAAAATTAGTCTACAATATGAACTGGTAAACACTGTGTTCTTATCTTTACACGATTACTACATTGCACACATTATGGTACCAGTACTGTCTTTCAGAATATGGTGATTGAGTGCGTGAAGTCGGATTCATCATTTCAGTACTAAGCTGCATTTATGAGATGTATTCATTTAAACAGTTGACCACAGTTCATATGGATGTATTCATTTAATTTTATTTACCAACCAAACCTATTAAAGTCCAAGCAACCTGAGCACATAAATAGAAAACCATATTTGCAGCTAACACACTAACTGACTGGTTTCAACGTGGAACTTTTCACAGATGTGCAGCAATTCCAGTTGCCACTCTTCCTTTATGTAGCACACAAAGCTAGAGAAGAGAGTAAAGACAGCTTCAAAAGAGAGACAATAAACAGGAATATGAGGCAAAAAGAGTAGTAATATGGAAGAACAGTAGAATTTTATTGAACATTATAAATCACATAGAAAGGAATGCATCTGCGCCAGTCATTCAGAACGATTTTCAGCCATGTCACTAATTGGTTCCAGCCACTGGATTTTACCATTCCGAGGCCCTTAACCAGGAGGTCTAAACCTACCTACGTGGTTTGAACTAACTGTTACGGATTTCATCGACTAATGCTAACATACTAACAAAAAATACAAAAGAAAAAGATCGGAATACTAACCAAGATATGCACATAAGCAATTAATTCAACATCTGCAATTCTGCATGATTTTATGCGATACAACATATACATTCGCTCACTAAAACCCGTAACTACTTTCATACAGAATTACTCATCATTTGAAGAGAGCCAATGAAGCATAATAAGGAGTTTAAATTACTTAGCGGCTATTTCTCTTTAAAATTATCATATGCATTCAACCAGTGAAATACGCTGTTGGATAAAATGAACAAGTGACTTATTAATGAAGTAAACTGACTAGATGTGTGGATATATCATATTCTAACTGAACACAAAACTAACTAATAACACTTACAGCAACAGATTCTGGGCCAAGTTGTTTATAATACAATTTCACGACATCTTTCAATATACGGCACAGATAGGGATCACTTCGCCAATTCAATTGTGCAATACCACGTGAAAACTATAGACGATGGAAAATTAGGGAACAGTATCATAAAAACATAGGCTGTTTATAAGAAGCATTATTATAGTGGGTACAAACGAATTTGATCTAATTCGAAGATTCATGTTGTATCTTATTCAGCTGGACATAACTGCATATTTGTTTTATAAAGGCAGAAAGCACGTCAATAATTTTGTTACCAACCTCCATTGATTGTATATTTTGCGTGTATTTCATTTGTTTTACAAGTTAACCAACTACCTACGATTCTATCTTTTATTTGAATCGCATTCGTTTATACCCACTATAGTATTGCTCATGGTGTTACTATAATTTTATTAATGTTGAACTAAAACTAAGGAAGGGATGCAAACACAGTGGGTATAAAGTGATTCACATAAAACTAGATATCATGAAGCCGGTAATGTGAAACCTACAGTTTCGATCGAAGTTGAGGCTAGGCGACAACTGATGCAAAATGCAGAGAATAACTGATGTGACCAGATGAGAATAAAGCCATTGATAATATGATATTCTTCTATACAGAAAATTACATAGCCAGATTTCTTGTCAGTGAACACAACAAACTAAGCAAAGACGCTACATAATAACATATTTTCACGAAGCAATTGCGATAAATAGATATGCTAAAATTTTCAGGAAGATGACACAAGAAATTAGCAAAGCTTAAAAAGTCTTTATTTGGATATATATATATATACATATATATAAACACTAGAAGACTGAAATCTAGTGATTCATTTAAATTTACCTCAGGCAGTTGATCACGCATTGAATCCAAAATATAATATGGAAATGAATTCCACTCACTGAGTGTGGAATATTTATTGGGTTCTTGCATCTCGTATAGTTGACGCGGAAGGAAAAAGTGATTAACCAAATTTTCAAAACTGGATGCTGAACCTTCTGTGGAAACAGGGGTATACAAAAGCATAGAACAGTGACGGAGAAGTGACCCAGCTGCATGATAACCCTTTGAACATAAATCTTCTGAATTCATAAAATCAGATGACATGAGAAGACCTAAACCGAAACCACTGTCTTTAGCAGAACTGGATACGGAACAACAAGTATAAATGAACTCGCATAATCGACTGATATGTTGGGTAAAAACTGATTTGAAGGTCATTCTGGTGTGAAACGTCTATGAGCAGTGAAATAAAAGAACAACATATATATATATATATATATATATATAAAACGATACTATAGTAATAAGGAAAATATAATTACAGAACATTTAAGAGGATTCAGTAAAGCCGCAGTTACCGGTATACGCTAACTGACACCATACAAAAGAGCAACTGAGAGACGTTACGGTCAACAGTAAATACGTATGAACTATAATATGAACAAATATTCTTTTAAGAATAACAAAAGGTATAAATCAAATGGTACCCTTTCCGAACTGAATAAGTGAGTATTTTCCACACTTCGAAGTTGCTAGAACTCGTATTCAGAATCAGGTAAGAAGAAAGTTTGTAGTGGTTATTTCGTAATAAGATACTTAGAATCAGTTCTTAAGGGATTCAATATTTTCTATGCACTAATTAAAGTATTTAATAAATTACGGATCGAAACAAAGATGCTAGTCTTTTAACCATCTGCCTCAATCTATATAATAATTTTATACCTATACTTAGCAAAGTTATTCAGATGAAATAAAACAATAAAGTTATCACTTACGGGGAGTCCATCAAAATAAGCAGAAATGTTTATAAGAAGCAACTCAGCATCAACATTCAGAAATGTTGAACTATCGATATTCAACGGTAAATAGGATCGAATTTCGCTGATAAATGATGGCAGTATGAAATCATTATGAACTTCAGTTGACATAGAATGAACTGGTGTTTTAATCATCAAAGCATATGCAAGCAATGTGACGAGAAACAACCAAGCAACTGAAGAAATATCACGTCTACTTGAACTGAGGATAGACAGTAGTTCTTTGACTGAATTGGATGTATTAAAACATGTTTCTAAAGTACTGAAATGAAGCCTGTAGGATAAAGAAAAAATGAGAATCATTTAGTGAACTGATGCATTTTTAACAAAGTGGCTTTTTGACAATACGAAGTGAAATTACAAGGTGTGTTCATCACTTGAATAATATATATTTAGGTTTTCTCACTATTGTTTCCCACACCACATAAATAACCGAAAAGTGTGTCTATCACTGAAAAAAATTTAAAAATCCCAGCCTATTCCTAATAGTAACTTATGATCCTAAAAGCTTAAAGAATAGCTACATTCCCCTCAACATACACCAACAGCGACTTATTACTGTAAGGATATATTGTCTAGTCCCTATAATTTATACACGCTTTTCTAAACTATTGCAAATCTCATGTTAGTTAGATAAAGTGAAGGACGAAACCATTATTTCTCTTAAACTACCTCCAGCCGACTACTCTGAGACTTGATAGACCGTTGAAATGTTGAGGCAAGTTAAGTAACAAAAAGGCGTGGTTACATAAGGCATTGCTACTTAGGTATTCAGATATGATAGAGAAGATTTGTAGCTCAGGTGGATAATTTTGATGTGGTTGTGTTCTCTGAGCTGGATAGTTAATCTGCGAAGCTTTCATCGCCCTACTAGGCGACATCTTCAGCGCAACAACGTCTTCGTATCCACGAACATAAGCTAGCCGTCAAAAGACATGACATCCACTTCCTCATATCACTACATACAGATAACCACGGACATCAATTCGACTGGGACAACGTTCAAATATTAGACAGAGGAAACAACAAGAATGCTAGAGAATATTTAGAAGCTTGGCATTCCAGCGAATCATCAATCAATAGACACATCGAGATAGACAAAATTTATCAACCGATAAGAAAGAAACCTCACACACAAAGGGTCAAAGTTCAAGTCAAGTAAACAATCAGTTCTAATACAAGTAACCTAGAAGGTGTGAAGTCACAAAAAAACAACCAATCACGTTCAAGGTCACCAGGAGAGATCATTTATAAACTCGTGGAGAAATCTAAAAGCTCACTTCATGAAATTGAAGTATGCGCTGTAGATGTCGCCTAGTATGGCGATGAAAGCTTCGCAAATTTACTATCCAGCTCAGAGAACACAACCACATCAAAATTAAGGTATTCTCATTGTATCCAGACTAACTTTTGAATATGTCAAACTTTAAATTATGTCCTATGATTTCGGTAGCCTTAGGCATCACTCGTTTATGTCATATGCATACAAAAAAAACAACGCACAATCATCCCCGAAAGACTCTACAACAAGTTTAACTATCAAAATAAAAAATCTAGGGGAATACTCTGCACTTTAAATACTTAAATTTTACGATTGGGTATTTTTGTCTCTTTAAGATTGGACAAGGGAGAGAATGTAGAAGTACAAATTTTGCATAAGTAGTTCAATTCTAATGAATTAGTCTATGTAAAAAAAGAGAAATATTTCACTAAACATTTGTTATTCTCGGGGTACATTTGATATGACTTATCTTAAAACTTTGATGTAGCTCCAGCGTAGAAAACTTACGAAAAATCAACAGACGTATCCAATGTAAGTAAATCAAATAATTCAACAGGATCAACGAATTCGTGCATCACACTGCTGCAAAAAAGAAATAACCATTGATAATTTGATGTTTGGAAAGCGCTGAACAAACAGCACATATAAAGACAATGAAATAAAATGTTTCAATGCACCCCATCTGTTTCAATCTTTTCAATTTATATTTTGAAATTAAAAACGTGGATTATGACCGAGGCAAAGTTTACCCAAAGTGAAGGAAGATGAATAATCTTTAGGTGAGAAGTGGTGCCTGTATTAGAAACGGATCTTTTGAGGGAATCCACATTTGCTCTCATGTCTGTCTGAATGAGGAACTCAAGAGTATTAGAGAATTATTATGTAAAAGTGGGTATCCAGAAAAGTTAAATGATAAAAATACGAGTTTAATGGCGAGGTAAGTTTGTATGTTAACAGCTCTGAAGAAGCCCTTCCTCTTCAAACCGCAGTCACTAACCTTAGTGATAACACCAATCAAATAACACAACTGCTAAAACTCAGTAAAAAAAAGAGCATTCAATGCAGAATAAATTCACTGTCTATTCAAAAGCACCCCAATTTCGCATTCAGGAATCAAGGATAAGCTGTCTAATTCCTCCCTATCTGTGTGGGCTTACCAGCTTCACTGCTCCTGTGGACCCAGTTACACTGAGTGTACAATTAGGTATTTTCATCATCAGACTTCTGAACACCATCCTGCGTGGTTTACAACAGATGAAAAACAAGATTTATTCGTGTCTCTGTTTTAAATCACCTTTCGGATACTAAACATAAAGGCATTGAAAGTTATCTACTGTATTCCGGCTAATCATAATTTTGCCTTACGAGTTGGTCTTTTACACACTGATGAAGCCATCGGAATACCTCCGAAGAAGTCAAACTTAGGTGTTCAGAAGTTCGTACAGACAAAACTTTGATCATCATTAATTGACTGAAAAAAATCTAAAAGTTTACCCTACTCCTAAATCTTTTACATGCTATTGTTGTTTCAACTATCTTAAGTTGTCGCATAAATATCATTCAATTGCCCTTATCATATTTTTATGCATAGTATCAACCATACATGCTTTCGAGATGTCATTCTATTGACCTTAAAGACTAAATACTATTTAGAAGACATCAATGCTAACAATTACCCGTTAAATACTGTATGTATATAACTAGAGCCAGGTGAAGTTGTCGAAAAAAAATATTATTTGCTCAGTCTCTTGAGAAAAGTTGGGCGAAGACATTTCTTTTGAGTTTTTTGTTCAAACGTGTACTTCGTCGTTGTTTCATGGTGACCAAATCTATCAGCTTCCGAAGGATCCCTGAATGGATGTTCTAATACTGTCCTAAATTTGACTTCAGCTTCATTTGTTTTTGGAGCTCGTACAGAAATCAAGGGTCCATATTTCGCCTTGATTTAGAAACGTCAGCATTCCAGTGGACGATGGTGTTACTCACGAAACTCTAACTCAATACCTATCATACCAAATGGTAAAGCCTTACCCTCTACATTACTGAAACATGATAAGAATTAAGAAACTCATAAATGTTGTAGGTTGGTTTTTATATTAGAAAGGTACTCATAACTATTTCATGATTTGAATACGGAAAACTTTATAGCGACCACCGGAATATAGAATGCAATGTTGAATGTCTGTGGGTCTATAAACAGTTAAGATAAGTGGTATTCACACGATTCACACGGCAACACAGAATCCGCATACATACATTTTTATTCCCAGGTAACCTAAGTTTGCGGTGCCAAACACCGTTAAGAACCTATAACTCTGAGTGTTGAATGATTTAGATAAATGCACACAATGTAGCTGCAAAATTTAGTGAGTTTAGGAGAAATTTTCAGTTCGTTAGAGGTATATTTAAAAAGACTGTTAGACCAAGAAGTGATATATGAGTATTTTACCTCCCCCCCCATTTGGCTTGTAAACCAGAAGTTTGATCTTAAAGTAGGTCGAAGATCACGTCAATGGATCTTCATGAGTGTGCCTGTTAAATATTTAAAACAATTTTTATATCATAAACTAGAATTTTTCTTCGATAAAGTAAAATAACTATGTAAATTATTGTAATTTCTAGTGTAGTTTCCTGTAACACGGAAAAAGGTCTCTTCTATCACAGTCACTATCAGAATACTAACCGAGCAATCACTAGCATATTGTTATCGGGCATTGGAGTCCCAGTTATGGCACAATATTTGGCTATGAACACTGTTGTTTTGTTGAAGTAACATTTTCATTAAAGTTACAAAAAAGATAAAAAGATATGTGAGTGCTTACTCTTTACTTTTGTAACAACTGCTAATTTTAGATATCAGCAAAAAATGATATGAAATCATGGATAACACAGGTAAAGAATTTGCAGGTATTGGATTAAACTTGGTATTCGTCCGAGAAACAGCTTTTCTAAATGCAGGATAAACGACTCTCCAAATGAAGGCTAAAAGTAAATCACAAAGCAGTCCCACATCAATGAAAGTAACTGAAACTAACTTTATCAAATATTTCAACGTGCCAAAAATATTAGTATACTTCAGATTATTAAGATGAATGAATAATTTGGCTGGCAAATTACTCAATGAATATCCAGGATAGTGATATTAGATTCACCATGACTACTCCAACGAACAGTAATATCCTACACCTAATGTAGACTCCTGCGTAGCGAAAATCATCGCCGAGATGGTAACATGGAGAAAATCAGATCACTTTCTCATCATTATCACACCAGATAATCTTGACAACACGACATGACCTTCAATATAGTTGATGCATCAATACACTGACCAATCGAAGTAAATAGTAGACGTACAGTAGTTAAATCGCACCAGTATACAAGATAATGTTTAAAGAGATACAAAACGGAAACATATGTGTACACTATAATTATTAGACAGAGGAGGAACATATGCTGTCTTGGTTGTCAGTGTGCGATCAAAAATTTCATTTGTCAAACTACAAACTAGATACACGAATATCCCGACTACGTCTAACAATTTCTTTCGAGAGAGATTGTGAGTAATGTATGAAACAGCACTTTACACTTTCATGTTGAAAATCACATCCTGTGATGAATCAATTAGCAACTGATTGACTATCATTTGGGTAACCTACATGTAATCACACAGTACAACGATGTCGTCTACATAACAACAACTGAAAAGTTTTCTTACAGACAACCGATTTATACAACAATATCATAGATAGCTAAGCTAAAAACAAATAGAGAGACTGATTAATCAACCCTACTCCTAGTCGAGTGTGATGATACATTATTGTACGTGCTCGTGTTCTCTAGGTGGTTTACCTCAGGGCTTTGACGATGTCAATGAAATTCATCATAACATCACTTTAACGGACAATCCCAAACAACAGTTTAGTCGGACACCTCTCCCAATTCATGCTATTTCAGCTACTATTACTCATCTGGGAAAACTGTGAATCCAGTATGGATAACATGCCTTTTAGTCGCTTCAGTTAGTCAAGTCTCACAGCCACATGGATTTGTTAACTTTGCTTAGTCCACACTCTACATAAAGTTTTATTATTTCTTACAGTATAGCTCCACATACTAATAGAAACTAAAAGGAGATACCCAGTTCCCAAAGGCATAGGCAAGGGTATTCTTTCTTTATTTTCTAAATTCAGAGACCATAGCTTACTAGTATAACGTAGGACATAGATGATTTCTACATGCACATAAATGAGCTTTGTCAAGTGTTAGGCTTTTAATTTGATGTGAGTTGTCAAATGTCTTAGTCTAACCAGAGTATATTCGCTACGACGTGTTTCGTGAAAAATAGACATTATAATATTAATTGGCTACACAAATTCTTTTTGTTTTTGATTACAGCTTGATTCAACACCATATTTTTGGTACAAATATGGAATTTTCAGCATGTGATGTCGGTAGCCCAAATTGTGCAGGCCGACCATTGATATCGGGTGTGCGTCGGCAGGGGGTCGAACACCGTACCATGTGCTAGGTCGGCGAGAGTACTGACCGCTGTGCCACCGACCCATGTCATAGATGGAACTGGATTGAGTAAAAACTTCCGTAGTTGTATTCACCTAGTAAATTATTTAGTCCTGAGACTGCAGGTTTTGAGATTAAATGTTAAGACTTGTTATCCACGAAAATTAGTCAAAAGTCAAGCTTTAAGAAGAAAAATCAAATGTAATTTGTGTGCGTTGGTGGCATAGCGGTTAGGACACTTGCCGACCATGCACATCCTCCGGGGTTCGATCCCGACCACAGACGCACTCCTTTACCTCGCTAAGCCAGAAATAATGCTGTTAAAGAGGTAAGGTTGGACATGAGGCTAGCAACCCCATCCTGTAAAATAAACACTGCTACAGAAACTTCAAGTCACTAGCTTCAAGCCCTATATTCTACTGGAAACGTGAAGGAAACAAATTTGTGCATAAAAAGATTTTTTAGAAACTCACTGAAAACGTCGAAACTGGATTCAGAGGGCGTTAAGGAACTGTAAAGGTAAGAATGACAAGCGATTTAAATGGTTAGAATGTAAAAGGTCTAAGGCATCATAAGTTTAGTCTGATGAACTACACCTTCACTTACAGACCAGCTATGAATTAAGAAAAAGATGGCAAACTTCGAGTCTCAATAATAACTGGCAGCTCTAAGAATCTGAAGCAAACCGGCATTCACATTTCTTTAACCGAAAATCAACAACAAAATGCATTTCCACACTAAGCTTTTCAAAGAAATCACACATAACTTATTAACGTGGTTTTAAAAAGTTGCATCTCCTGAGAGTGATAAGATGATGGCAACTTTAAAACTGGTGTGGGAGTGAAGGAAGGCTTTACAACAAACTATTCATCGAGTTTAGCAGCATTTGATTTGAAATTTGAGCCTTTCAAATGAATGAGGGATTTCCAAAAAATTCATACAATATTTGAAAGGTCATAAAAATTGTACACAGAGGTGAAAATTTATTGCCCTCTTTTTTGTAGTCTGTCTGAAGTTTAATAAGCTGTCAAATGACACCTATTGAAATGACTTGGTTAACTGAGGCCTTTTATTCAGATAGGAAGTAACACGAAAGATGTCTTCAGAAGACAAGACCAAAATTAACTGTTGATTATTGGAATAACATGCCTTCATGTTAAGTAATGTAAAGTAACTGATATGAAGCCGCAATACTAAAGCGCTTGTTTCTCATCTCCACCTTTCGTACTTGTCTCGCAGATTCAATTTTTTCATTTCTTGCTGAACTTTACCATCTTTTAACGTCTGCTTAAAAACGTTCGCAATAATGTCAAGTCTTCAGTCCTATATTTCACCCACTCCAGGTGAGTTCACAAAGTATAATTAGCAATGTTAGCAATGTAAAATTGTTGATAAATGATCGAAAAATTCATTTGACACCCACCATACTGCTTTTGTCAACTGCAGAATGCCTTCATTCCATTTAAGATCAAAAGGCCAGCCAACAGAAGTGAAATACGATGATCCTGGGAAGTAAAATCGACTGGTGAGAACAGGTATTTACATGAAAATATTAAATTAGAATTAAACAATCTAGAGGATATATATCATAGAGCTGAGACACTTATTATGCGTGGATTGTCATTGCATTCGATTTTACTTTTCAATATCACACCACCTACTCAAAACGTCCCCACATTTCCTTCGTGTCGGTGTTTCCGATCTGACACCGCTCAGAATAAACGTATGCACAGTGGAATAAAACAATGTGGTAAAACATGATCTACTCGAACATACAACTGGATAGCGTTACGATGAGGTAATTGAGATAGATGTAACCTTCACTGTCATAAAAAGGAAAGAATATATTTTCAATTCATAGTTTTTTTAAGTGTATTCACCACTGAATAAAGCATAGTATTTGTCAGAAAACACTAAAAAACTATTCTCTGACAGGCAGAAACCATAGCTGTACAGTATAGACCACCGTATCATGCTAAAAGCGTTCATTTAAAACGAACTTTAACCATTCAGACTCTAATAATTACTTGCGCTAATGATGTACATAAAACTACGCAGCAAATGGAAAAAAGACACATTTCTAAAATGAATTTATTCAGGGACAACATGATAATAAACATGTTCCACAACTTGAGAAATGCAAGAATAGACAAAAAACATGCGCTACGGGACACAAACGATTGATTTTATAAAGGCAGTTCAGAAAGTCATTCTCTGGCAAGGCTCAGGAATCCAATAATATTGAAATATTTTGTTTCAATCACACATTATTTTCAAATTGTCAAGTAGATACCAACACTACTAGAGGATCAATTTTCTCGAAGCCTATAAGGTGAAATTTTAAAGTGCATTTAAATAGTAACCAATCAAAAATGTGAAAAAGCAATGCATAACGTACCTAAACAATGCATAATGAACATAAGGTGCCCTGCGTCTAATGTGGCAAGAGCAGAATTATCTGTAAGATCAATAAGAAATTGAATTGAAATAGATGTGAAGTCGTTCATCCAACTTGATGCAGACAATCGATTAAAGGTTGATGGACGAAGAGCTGATACGATTTCAGAGTCGGTAATTGATTCTGAAAATCTGAACAGTAATAAAAATTCACGCTCCAATCATAAGAAAAACAGCTCAGAATAAAACCATCTATGTCGATCTAACTAAGAACTATAAGTAAAATGAATTTATATACATTGATGGATTCTAGCATATAACTGTCTGCGCCTAAATTATTCCTTCACAATGCATTGGTATGAAACACACTTTACGGAACAGACTGATAACAATAGTATATCAACATTAGGAGAGTTAGGAAATTAATCGTGCGTTAAATAAAATTATCTACACATACTAGTTTTATGCACTGTGAGAAAAAACAATCAACGCGTTATTTACACTTAATAATATCGTTTCAGCAATCATAGATGAAAATGGATTGAGTAAAAACTTCCGTAGTTGTATTCACCTAGTAAATTATTCAAACCTGAGACTACAGCTTTTGAGATAAAGTGTTATCGAATGCTATAAACTTACTTTAATGTTGCGATTGAACACATGTAAAGCTATGATATTAATCAAAATAAGTCCATGTAACGTATTCTTATACAAACTTAGGCAAGATTTATAGTCTCAGTATTCCGAGAAATAAGGTAACTCACGATTTCAGTTGTAACGAACGGAGACAATACAAGCTCATTTACATTCAACCACCTAGAGTAAATATTGAGACTAATATGAAATGGATGGAGTAGTATTTCATTAAAGTGGATAAAAATGGACTTTTTTTAAAACTACTGATAGCAGCGTTATGCAAATCTTTAGAATTCATTATAATATACAGAGTTCTGATTACAACTTACGGAGACAAGCTACGACGCAACGGATTGACAGAACTGTTAATTTTTTCTACTACTGAATTGGCAATGGACAAATAGAATGCACTAGAATCTGAGTATACAAACACACATTCTTTGCATATTATCTCTAAATATTGTAAACACTGAAGAACGATACAACTGCGACTTGGATCCCAACTATGTATTCCTGATTGAAATGAACTGGCAGGCTCTGTTAAAGCAGTGCAGAATTCAACAATGTTGTCAACCTATGAAGTAAATATACAACAAACTGTTAGGAAGAAGTTTAGACAGAAAACAGGATTTTATAACGCTAAGTTTGTTGATTGCCGACTAGAATACTATTTAAAAAGAATAACTTCACGGTAAGTCAAATGTTCAACACTTATTACAATACAGTACAAGATACTTAGAAGTCCTAGTAATTTTAAAGATAAGATAATTTGTGAGCGCCTGAATTCTTACATACGAACGAGACCAGATAAGAATCGGAGAGAAAATGGATGTTCCAATGCTTCTGTGTGGTAATTATTCAACTGCTTTTCTCGACCAATACCTACTATTTTGACGTGGTGATTAGGCTAGTAAACAACAATGACCAAACGAACTAGACAGGCAGGTCTAACCATGTCAAAAAGGTCATTTGGATAGCAGTTAGACTAAAGCACCCACCATCAAATTGGAAGTCACTCACACTATGCTGAAGGTATATGGATGAGGTCGTACCAGTGGCTAAAAAGAATGGAAATGTAGTAAGGTGTTTCCCTCAGATAGCCAGCAAGTCGTATAAACGCATTTTTTCAATGACGGGTGTGACCCTATTCGAATTTAGCGACTGAAGCACTGAATTGTTATGCACATAATATAGTCCCCCTAGGTGATATACAATGATGAAACGCTTAGCAGGAATCTTGGAATTTTAGCATATAATTTACCTCTGTGGAATATAAGATGATAGTGCAGAACTGGCCAGCATAGGCTTCTAGTTTGAAAGTAAGTAGTGGAGTTTACTTATTTAAGAAATTTCATCAGCCCTGATGCATTGATTACTGACAAAATATCAGCACGGTTAAAAGAGGCTTGCGTGGCACTTACCAACTTACGTCATTTCTTTCACAGACCTTATAATAGGCTATCGATCAAAAGACGTGTGTACTGTGCAGCAGTTCGCTTTGTTCTTTCTTTATGGATGTGAGAAATGGCCATTGAAAGTGGAAGACATGAAAAGGTTAGCTGACTTTAACCACAGATGTTTGCGTTTTATCTTTGATGTTAAGTGATATAATATGGTCAGTAATACTGACGTTTAGCGTGGTGTTAAGTGGAAGGAAAATCAATCAAGAAGGTTGCCATGCTAGATTTACTTTATTTTTTTATTACAGCTTGATTCCACACCGTATTTTTGGTACAAGTATGGTATTTTCGGCATGGATATCGGTAGCTCAAATTTTGCAGGCCGACGATAGATATCAGGTGTGCGTCGGCAGGGGATGGTCGGCGAGAGTCCTAACCACTGTGCCACCGACGCACACAAAACACCATGATCATTAATGCATGGCGGCTTGCAAAGATATGCAGAATTCTCAAGGAACTTATCAGTCAATGACTAGGATACACGTTACGTGTGCTAGACCACCATCTCCTGCGACGAGCAAATGTTCGTTGATATAGGATTAGGTTGGAAAATGGCTAGGGATGGTCAAACCAAAACCTGGAACTATTGAATGAAATCTCTGACTATTGTTGATATAAGACTATTGCTTTGAGCCACGCATAGGGATGTAGGTTACCTCATTGGGTGTCCTTGAGACGCTAAGGATTAATGAATTGACGCCGTTGGTGATATGGTTCAAAATCGTTCTCAGTGTCGCATGTGTCTTCAGTAACTGTAATCTTCCACATCTATCAAGTCCTCATATTTTTCCGTGCTACTATTTTTCGCGCACCAAATTTCTGCTCATTATAGTTCTTTTGAAATTTTTACACTCTTTACCTTTGTGCTCTATATGGATTTTTGGCAACTGGCACTGCCGCACTTCTGTACAAATTTCTGCGTTGAACCTTAGTTGGTCGGTTGGCTGGTCAATAATCGGTGAGAAAAACACTAAAAACGGTTATCTTCTTTTCACTACAACCTATAATCTTAAGAAAATGAAACAAGATTTCGAATGACGCCAGTCGAGATGATGCAAATATGCGTCATGTTATTAAACGATGAAACACGACCAACCTCAATGGTTCGCAACCTAGAAATAAGGAAACACCAACACATTTGTACATAAACTATCGAAAGACTACATGTAAAAGAATATTTCTCATTTACCATTGGTAACAAGCATTTTTGAATATTATCACTGCTGCTTGTGTTAATCGCCAGTGAATTTAAAGCTTCTTCCAACAGATTCGCCCAAATAAAGAAATAATACGAAATACCATTCCTTGTTAGCGACAGCAGTGAGATTTGCAAACTAATATGAAAAAATCATGGTGAAAACAAAACGTATGAAAAATTGCAAGCAAACCGTTATGAAGATGTTCGCAATACTACTCAAGAAAAGGAAATCAATAAAAGTCAAGTACCCAGGCCAAAAATTGCCTTACTACTTGTGTTTGTCAAGTTCATAATTACCCTGAGGGTAGTTAGTGTGAAATAATCATCCAAATAATCATTTGCACAAATGTGCGGAAGTTCAAGTCGCCACATTCCGTGTAGCACGCGAAGCAAGAGAAGAAAGTACAAGAAAAGCATAATAGAAACAGTGAGCAGAGGTGTGAGACAAAGGAGTAATAAAGAAATACAAAACAGTTTCATTGAAGATCATAAGTCACAGGAAGTGGATGCATCTACGCCACTGAGAACGATTTTGAGCCATGTCACCAATTGTTTCCAACCATTGATTGACTTCTGCTACTGGGTAGTTTCCCTCAAATAAAAGGTTGCTTGAGACTATCACCAAGATTAGCAACAGGATTTGCTTCTACTATTAAAATTCGGTTAGTTCACCCAAAGACAGGATTGAAAGAAATTTAATAGCTAGACAGCAATAACTATGTGGCTATTATTACTAATTCTTTAAACATATACTACATAAGAAGTAAGCAAAGTAGTTAAATAGTGTTGCAGTGAGATATAAATTGAGAAAAAAGTATGTGTGCTTAGAGGGTAATTGCATGACGGTAATGCTAAAGACGGTCGTCGGTGGCACAGCGGTTAGGACGCTCGCCGACCATGCACATCCTCCGGGATTCAAACCCCGACCGAAGCACTCTTTTACCTTGCTAAGCCAGAAATAATGCTGTTAAAGAGGTAAGGTTGGACATGAGGCTAGCAACTCCATCCTGTAAAATAAACACTGCTACAGAAACTTCAGGCCACTAGCTTCAAGCCCTATGTTCCACTGGGAACGTGAAGGAAATATTATTATTAATGGTAAAGACAGGACTTAAAAGCTTACCCCACAGTCAAAAAGAAAAACTGGATTATAGGTAAGTAAAACATCTAAACATGCACTGCAACCACATGGTAACAAAGCACGGATGATTGGTTGAAAAGGTATTATATGCTACCTTCCCAATTACTAAAACTTTTCCCCCACGGAATATCGGCTGAGGAGAATGCAACAATACACCTTGAAGTACAACTCCACTAGAGAACAAAATTTTGTGTCCATTTTACATTCAAAAATAAAAATAAATAATCCCTTCAAAGTTTAAATACATCAAACAGTATCCACATTTGCATGAATATATTTGTGTTTTGAAATTTTATCCCACATTAAAGGATAGTAAAATCAGTCAACCAGTGGGCCCTTCAAGTATATTATTTATGGGAAGCCAACATTTATATTTTATTTATCAAATAGACATGGATGCTGTAACATTCATACTTTGAAATTAATGAAAAAAATCACCTACATGGTGCACAATTCTCTGTATTCCGATGACGGTATTTTTCGTAGTAGTGAACAAAACATACAGAAATTCCTAAAAAGAAAAAAACCAGGCTTCAAGAAAAAAAATTACAACACGAAAAGTAAATTGAACAGAAAAAAAAATAAATTCAAGACCTATCCAGATAACATCGATAAGTCAATATCAGAATGAATGATAGCATCAATTCAAACCAATCATTTTGTACTCCTAGACTGCTAATAAACCAAATAGTGAGTTACACTATAGTCAATTACTATCTCTCTCTCTCTCTGATGGAAGTACGGAGCTTCTTAATCTCTCCAACTACGCTGTAACCAGACGATTAGATTTTAAAAATACAGTCCGATTGCAAAAATTAAAATGTCAACAACCATAGAATGTAAAACCTAAACAACTGAGGATAGGGCTCCAAATGGCGTATATCTGAAGTTTGCAGACTTGAATCACTATTTCTAAACAATTTAAGTCTAAAGCTTTTCCCAAAACTGTATCAGTTTAAGTTTCGGGACTTCGAGAAAGAACACATGGAAGTGAAACAAGGATGTAATGCGAATTTAACGGCAACCTATATAGAACCTGGTGAATGACAAGGAGTGAATCAATACACCTGAGCCGTTTAAAACGATTGTAAGCCATGTCACAAGGAATCGCCGACCATGGGATCTTAGCAACTCCAGGATACCAACTAGGCTACAGGTCAATGACTTCATGGATTGATACCATGTTTTTGCATGACTACCCTTATTTTTCCACCATTTAATTTGGATAATGGGCTTTATTATCACACCATTGATCAATTTCGGAAATATTTTGATGGTTTTGAACCCAGATTCATAGGCGAGATGCTGAGACAAAATAGAGCTGCTGAACAGACCTACATCGCCACTAAATGACCATGCTGCTGAATCTCAAATTCAAGTGATACTGAAACGGAAATTCTGCTATAGCGGTTTTTAGAATCTTTCAGCGAAGCCTACTTCACCGCCAGTCTACTCCATGCTGTTTTAAGATTGTAGGACATCACCGCTGACCATAGAAAGCCCCTTTTATTTCCTAGTGTAAGGTGGCGTAATAAAGTCAAAAATTAAAAGATTAAGAGAGAAGAGTGAAAGACGAACGATGAGGCTTTGGTCGATCGAGACGAACAACGCATGTTTTACACTATCGTCTTTCGGGACATATAACGTTAGCTGTAAAGAGGAAAGTTTGCTAAAGAATTCAGTGCAACCAGAACTGAACACAGTACCGATATATGAAGTCTTCGACTATTAGACAGAGCCGTCTAATAATAAACTACACCCTGTCTGTGAATCTTGGACTGACAAGAATCAACGGCTGGAGACTGTTTACAACACGTCGTAGATGTACAGATGTAGGAAAAAAAAGATTTGGTAAAGGAATGTTTATTTGGAATTCGGTATCTCTATATAGGGAAGTTATGTACCTCTTATCTGAAAATCATCATTTGTACAGATCTGCCGTGTTGTGCTACTTCTATCCTTCATATTGTGTTTCTTTGTGTTACTTCCACGCCTCCCATGTTTCTGCGCAACACTGAATCATTTGCTTTTACTGACGTCAAATCTATCTCTCTACTATTTTATATTTTTATGCTGATCAACGTCCCTTAATATAAATCTTATCAGTAGGACACGTCACAGATGCAGTCCGTCAACACATGGATTTTGAGAATTGTCACTAATCCACACCTAACCATTCTTTCTTCCGTATATTCTCGCATAATGCGATTTCAGTGCATTTCCTGTTACACGTGTTTCTTATAAAAGCGGAAAATTTAAAAAATTACCGCTTTTAGATTAATCTATGCCAAGTAGGCAGTCAGTTTTCACGAATATATAGTTTATGCCCAATTTTTTTCTACCAAATGCCCACTGACACGTGAGTTAATATCACTAATTTAATTGGCTTTTTATTGAGAACTACATTTAAATACTGCAAAAATCATGTTAATCAGAACTTTCAAGTGAACGATAATATTTCGGCCTACAACAGACATTAATCTTAACCATGTCATATTGAGCCTAGAGACAAAATCCTATGGCTTAATACACTACCATCATACGATAGGATGTATAAAATGACAAGTTTACTGAGTAATAACACAGTCAAACCTATTCATATAAGAGATATACAAATGATTCAAGCCGCCGTTACGACATATCGCAGGAAGAAATGCCTTTCAATGGAAGCAGAAGGGAAGAAACTCAAGTAATTTGTATATTATAACTTTTTTCCTTCACGTTCCCCAGTGGAACATAGGGCTTGAAGTTTCTGTAGCAGTGTTTATTTTACAGGATGGGGTTGCTAGCCTCATGTCCAACCTTACCTCTTTAACAGCATTATTTCTGGCTTAGCGAGGTAAAGGAGTGCGTCTGTGGTTGGGGATCGAACCCCGGAGGATGTGCATGGTCGGCGAGCGTCCTAACCGCTATGCCACCGACGCACATATTATAAATGCTAAGCATTTATTTACTGTTCCTGAAGATTTCTTTTTCAGAGCTACGTTGAATATGCAAACAGACAGGGTTTTACGCCAACACTCACTTGTTTTTTTATCCACTAATCTCCTGACTCAATTTCTAGGGAAACAGAGGGTGATTCTTAGTAAAATCCTCTTACTTCTGCACAAGATAAAATCGTCAAACTAGATGACCTGAATAACATACAGAAGAGTGATTCGAACACAGAGAACCAAAATGAATGCTATATGCTGACAACCACCTTATAAATAGTGGAGGATGAATAACAGGACCGTTGCCGTAGAATTTAATGAAAGACTGAAGCAGTTATATAGCCAGAAGCTAACGTAAAATACGCTCGTTTATACATAATTACATGAGACAGTTAAAATATCCATACTTCCACCTCAAACCGTTGCGAAGCGTTTTTATAAAATGATTAAGGATCATTGTTTGCCCTTTCTGTAGCCATTAACCATTACTATTAATAACATATCTTAAAATCTGGCATTTGTATAAATGCAACCAATCAATAACACAAGCACTCATGATTCTGAGAACCCGTTATCATATTGGTTACAAGTGAGTCCATGGTTCTGCTCTATCTGTTACTATTCGACATCACATGAAAATGATACAATGGTTATCAAACATTAAACAATTAAAAGAGGAATGATTAAGTGCATAAAGGTAATGACATCACTATGAGAGTCAAATGGCGACTATAATCGAAGAGCCACGTCATGTAAAGCCTGTGCACCGATAAATTGTTAGGAAATTATTTGGAAAAAGTACAAAAAAATATATGCAATGAGACAACAGTAAAAAAAATATCACGCGACAGAGTTCACAAAAGAACTTACTGCATTTCTTCATCAGTTGACTTTCCTTTTGCATACCAACTCCTGAAACTTGATGTTAAAGAAAGACAATATGTCAACTTTCGGTTGCATAACAAAACTGTATGTTGATCAGTGATCCTAAGCAAGACGACAAACGTTAAGCAAACTGTGACCAGTGCGCAAGGGAAATTGCAGCTCCTGTGATCTGAGAGATGAATTCTGACTTTCCTATACTTACTGAACTCACAGACAGACGGGTGTATCAGTTACATTATTTGATATATATATATATATATATATATATATATATATATATATATATAATGCAAAATTACTGCTCCAATTCTTGTTGCACGATTGTGGGTGGGTATGAGTTCTAGGTGGTGACTTACGTCTTAAGTCACATCGATAAGTGGGAGAGAATGATTGCAAGTAAACCAGGTGCTTCGAAAATTGCAATTATAAGAATACGTAAGTCGATAAATACCCAACAGTTAAACTTAGCGTTTTAAAAGAGACTTTTATTGCGTTAGGTTTACCACACTGCGTTTGTTTGTCTACCACACGCTAATTCAGGGTTCAAATTACACGTGGCAGCTAATCAGGGGGCTGAAACTACTATTCATTTTACTCAGCTGTTAGTTATCCTAAAAGCACAAACGAAATGGAAATTATTTAGATAACCAGACGATCAGCACCTTATTCATTGTCACATGAGATAAAATACCCCCATATTTGAGATTTAAAATGTTTATTAACGCTGAGCAGCATAAATAATATTCAGCAGATGTTATTCTTAGGTTACTATATGTTTAGAAAACTTATGACTTTGAATACTGGTACGAACTATCCCCCAAACAGCGATATGGTAGCACTCGATGCTGTTTATAAATAATGAGATTCAATTGGAAGAAATTTTTCGTCAATTAACACACAAAATGACTAGAACTATGGAATCACAGGATATATTCAATGTATTCACTTACCTGATGTTAGGTAGAACTAATCCTGTATATGAATCTGAAGTATAGAATCCAATATTCTGAACATTTTGGAAAAAAGGAGACAGGTTAAACAGTGACACCGAAAGATCATATCTTGTAGTTCTTATTGAACATAACAACATATTGACCAACAGTATCCATGATCAGAGGTAATTTATGGAATAGACATAAAACTCACCAAGCGACCCTTGAAATACAGCCACAATGAACGGATTACTTCCAGACTTATTCCCCATGTCTCGGTTAAGCGACGTAAACTTGTAAGGCAAGTATGTACATCACAAATGCCAGGCACACTTTCCTATTTAGTAGACAGAATGAAAGTGTATATTAGAGCAACTCAATAATAGCCAAACTATATGCATTATTCCATTATGGGTAAGATTTTCTTTGATATAGTCTCACAGTGTTATACAGTAATGTTTTCTGATGACGTTTAGAGCACAATTTATTGCTCATAATCATATCATATGCACCCAAGAAATTATCACCAAATCATAAGCTTACAGCTCCATGTGGTAAACTTGGTGAAGTAGCACAAAAGGTCAGATCAGAATCACTTATCATCACTTTGACTGATAAAAGTTAATTAAGCAATAGATATATAACAGTTTTAAGATGTTCACAGCATCATGCAGTAAGTTACCAATTTGAGATATAACATTTTTTAATGACAGTGGATTCTCAGCAATGTACCAGGTTTGATTCAGCTCAGGGGGCTGAATCAATTCAGTTGATCTGGCTAGTAATCACTACTAGTTGATGTTAGTAGTATAAGACCACTCATCTGAATAAACCAGTAATATATGGTCTTACTCGCTTATGTTTGCTTTCTTGATTATCATTTATAGTATTAAACAGATCACAGATTGTGATGTGAATAATTTTGATTTCCAAGGGAAACTGTCCTGAGATTTCACCTCCCTAAACTGTGCCAACTGAAAATTAAGAATTCGATTCGAGGTGTTACCAGTTTGTTCGAATAACTAGCCACAAACATAGTGGTTTGAGCTTATTCAGCTCCACTGGCTGAGGAGTCAAACAGGATACACTGCTGATGAGCTCGAGAGAAATGGCCATCCAGTTTTTGAAACCACTTCGATGAGGCTAGCAACCACTACTGGTTGATGTAGAATGCAACTACTAATCGCAACCAATCAGTAATAGATTTCACAGTAAATTCTAAAACCGACTCTCTCAGGTACATTTTCCTCTTATATTCTGCTTTTTGGAAGATATCTATTTTAATTCAGTATAATTAAGCTTCACTCACCCCAAGGAACTGTTGTCGAATCAACCAGACCACAACAGAATACTTTTGTAATGCTCCTCTCTCAATCTGTAAAAAAGGGAAAACAACACGCATGTAAGTTGGAATGAAAGGCATTACACAACCAGTGTGAAAAAATGCCTTCAGGTTTGTAATACGATTGACAGTGGGTGTAAGCGTACTTTGTGCACCCAAGACCTGGACGAAACACTGGTACTGTGGACCAATTAAAATGCTTTCCACAGTGTACTATGAAGCGTTTCAAGCATTTTGCTTTTTCAACAGAAACAAGTCCACTTCCATAACATTACAGTTAGATAAACAATGGTTTAAAAAAACACTAAAGAATTTAAAACACTACAACACTTAAGTCACCCAATTCGATATAAGTTTATGATATTTCCAAACTTCGAAAGTTATGTCTCGTAACAGTATAGTCAAATTTAACTGTCGCGCAAGACGACACCAACCAAAAAACATTTATCTATTTCAATCTGAACTCCTTTAAACTTTCTAAAGACAATTACACCGATTTCGACTTAAGTTACTGACATTTTTTTTCATTTCAGATATTATTTCTTGGAAAACAAGATACATATGAAGCCAAGTGATATGTATCCACATATATATATGTGTGTGTGTGTGCATGTTGGTCTCTCTTTCTGTTTGCTCGGTTAGTCTGTGACCACTTCACTTGTATGAACTTGTCTCCTTTAATAATGTGTATTCTCCTTATATTATATTATATATAATATGAGTGTTTGTTGACAGTCCGTTGCTTGGTGACATATATCCATATATGTTGTTGGCATGTCTGCTATATTCGCTATGTATAATTGGATCGACACTCCATTATAATTAGCCATTCATGTTAAGACTGTCTAATGATTTTTCCCACGCTTGTCTGAATTATTTATATATATTCGCATTCACAATTTGTGTGAACTACTTTACTTTACAACTACTTTACTTACTTACCACTTTGGTGTGAGACCATTTATTTTCGTCTCCTTGTGTTGGACAATAGAAGTATCATCGCAAACCTAGTGGTCTTCTGATTTCCGCCTTCTCGCGTCAGGACTATTAGTTTCTCGACCAGTCCATAACAATAATTTAGCGACGAGTACATAACAGTTTGGCGACGGGGAAACTAGTACATAACAAATTGGCGACGGGGATGGGATCAAATTGTTATGTACTAGTTTCCCCGTCGCCAAATTGTTATGTACTCGTCGCTAAATTATTGTTATGGACTGGTCGAGAAACTAATAGTCCTGACGCGAGAAGGCGGAAATCAGAAGACCACTAGGTTTGCGATGATACTTCTATTGTCCAACACAAGGAGACGAAAATAAATGGTCTCACACCAAAGTGGTAAGTAAGTAAAGTAGTTGTAAAGTAAAGTAGTTCACACAAATTGTGAATGCGAATATATATAAATAATTCAGACAAGCGTGGGAAAAATCATTAGACAGTCTTAACATGAATGGCTAATTATAATGGAGTGTCGATCCAATTATACATAGCGAATATAGCAGACATGCCAACAACATATATGGATATATGTCACCAAGCAACGGACTGTCAACAAACACTCATATTATATATAATATAATATAAGGAGAATACACATTATTAAAGGAGACAAGTTCATACAAGTGAAGTGGTCACAGACTAACCGAGCAAACAGAAAGAGAGACCAACATGCACACACACACACATATATATATATATGTGGATACATATCACCAAGTAAGACCTCAATAACTTTTAGTGAAGTTTATAAGTCCGAAATGCAAATGAAACTAAATCATGCGAAATATATTATGGTCTAATAGTGATCAATGGATACTCGATAAGTTGGGTCATACTGAAACCAAAGGGTTATAAATAACATACCATTTGTGAAACACTAGGTAAATATACCAGCTGTTCACCGACACATGATCTCTGAGACACAACAAAGACGAAAACAATGAACAAAATACCTTTGACTGTGTGATATATTCCATAAACTGGCGATGTATCGGGGCAGTGTGTGCAAGTACGTTCCAATACAGGGACCATAAACACAACGAAGTCCCAGAGCGATCGTTCGAACTTGATGGTTGTAAGTAAGCTTTGAAATCTGGACGAAGACGCTCCAAAGTATTAGGTTCTGTAAAAATTAGAACCCAGAAAAAGTATGGCGATAGTCTCATGTTCCATAAGTAGTAGACGCTTACTTTTGTTTCGAAATAAAAAGGGATGCGCATAACGAGCTATGAACCCCTAAACTGCATAACAACATTTAGTAACCCTTAGCTAATTACAGACAAGGAGGCTACATTGAAACATGCATTCCTAATTGGTCTAGTGATAAATAGCTACACAAAAATTGTGCCAAATGATGGAAATCACATATTAATATTAAAATCCTATACAACGTAAAATTACAGTTGTTTAGATCACTATCTGATAGTAGTGTTCTTTGTTATTGTCAAATACAAATATCCGGAAATTAAAGACTATGGTTTAAATACCACATTACGGTACGAACTGTGATTTTATAACAGTACTAGCAGTGACAGAAAACCTTATCTAGAGCCGAGTTATAGCGATCACCAGTGTCGCCAGTATGATTATGCAGCAAGCACGAATGCGAGAAACAATACTGTTCTCAGCAAAATAATATCTTCTAAGTGATGTTTAATAACCTGCCAATATGAACTATTTGAGAGCTGAGAACCACTGGTAAAACAATTGTATAGGTAAAAACAATAGGTATAAAAAGGTGCAGGTTTATGTACTGCACAACCTTATAAAAGATTTTAATGACAGTCAAAACACAATGACAAACCGAGAGTCATACTCGAGACAAAACATACCAGAAAAATCCACCTTTTGATGAGCACTCAACTTCATCATTTTTCCATGGAAAAATTTGAACCAATTTTTCTGAGCCTAGAGAAAAATGTCATACATTAGATAAGTAGCTTTAAGTTTTGACAGCGGAAAATCATAGGTATAACCAAAACAGGTTTAGGAAATTGAGAAGGGGCTTTATATCAAGAAACGAGTTTTACCTGTGTAAAATGGCTTTCAATTCACAAAAGCAGAGAAACACTTCCTACAGAAAATAATGCCAAATCCATGGAAAATTATAATAAACAAACCCGTCCACAGAAAACAGCATTGCAGTAATGGCTTCCTGGTTATGAAATAATATTTCAGAATATCGAAGAGAAAGTCAGTATCGGTATGCCCGAGATACGTGGTTTTATACTACCCTTCATATATGTGAGTGGAAACAAAACTAACTTCAAACAACTAAACCATGTATTTCACCCTAAATTTATGCTGCTCAATTTGATATTTTTATTGCTACTCTGACGTTCTACATGCTTTCATCACTTCACAAAAGCACATATAAGAAGAGTGGAAATGAGGTCAGTGTGACGATCAAATATAAAAACAGATCTGTGAGAACATCCACAAAACTTAAAATCATTCTTTAACCTTCGCGGGTTTGATCAACTCATGACAGCTAAATGCATAAAAAATGAGTAAATCATACTTAAGTTTTGTAAAGAAAAATCAACACACCTAAGCCACTATACTAGACTTTTAGTCAAGTCATGACGTCGACTACTTTCACAAAATTCTATTTAGAACTCTGCTTAGTAATGAATATGGATGCATATGACTACACACTTTATACACGGCCTTAGCAAAGAACTGATGGATAAATCTCGCATTCACGTTTCCTTAAACATACATAGCAACGTAATTAAAACTGAATTAAAAAAATTACCTCTTCTATGAGGTGAATAACTACAATCCAGATCAGTATGTCACAAGAACAATTCCGCGGGTTTTTCTGAAACTATCAATATTATGTGTATTAATTACCACTCCTGAAAATAGGATCAAATTCTCCAAAACAATATCAACGAAGTAACCACTCGCATTTAAAGAGCTCCGAGATTTCAATCCCAGCGTTTCGTTCACAATCACGCCGTATTCTAAGAAGTGCAGGATAACAAAACATACAAGACTACCAGTTCTTTTGCAAAGAAAGTTGAAAACTTTAAGTACTGTTATCCATACTTCCAAATGAGCATGTAAAAGATGTTCACTTGTCTTCACTGTAGTTTCCAGTATATACGACAGAGGTCCAAGTAAAGTCAAGATGGAGCGGATACATGATATTATTTTCACAACTGAATGCTTGTCAAACATCTTGTTTCTAAACACATATAAATATTTACAAGCTTACACAATGCAAGAATCCAAAGATGCCAGAAGGAAAGTTGCATCGTTCCTAAGGACTGCACACTTAGTCAACTAACAAATCTCACCTGACAATTCCTGCTCGTTCTCTGGCGGGCACATTTTCAGTACAACCAGCCTGGTTCTAAAGAAACAAATTGGGGTTAACCAGTGATGTAACAAACCGTAGTAAGCACAATATATGAACAGGATCACTCCAATGAAGTTCACCTACCGACTTCTCAAAATGTCTGCTTGATTAAAGACTAATGAAGAGAAACTTACGACAAAAAAGACACTGAATCCACCGAATTACAAGAAAGACCCAAAATCTGCACATATTGTGGTATATCAACTAAAAAGTTATTCTTTCATGGTATACACACCATCTAATTCTGTCAGCAGATCCGCATCGAAATCCTCTAGAAACACATCACCTCTCCCCATAAACTCCGGAGAGGCGGGTGGTGTCCAAATTGCAGGATCAGACATTCAAAACGCGCGGACAAGAAGAAACACTGCCTGGTCGTGACCTCATGCGCAAGGTCGATATATACATTCCAACATCCAATATCGTTTTTACGAGCTAGTATAAACCAATTTGATTTCTTTGTGCTCACTTCTTGATTGCGAGGTATAGGGGCGAAGTACAAGAATAGCGTCCCAGGAGTGCAAACGTTCAAATTCAGATTCAGATTTATTGGTTGAGGATAGAAGGCTTGCAGCCTATGTTAATCCTTTTCTAGTAGATTTCTGTGGTTGTCCAAACCCTTCTTGAACGAATCAGTTGAGGTTGCAGACACCACTTCTTCTGGGAGTCGGTTCCAAGAGTTTATGACTCGATGTGAGAACCAGTACTCAACAGCAATATGATTTCTCCTTGGCTTTTGAACTTTCCTGCTATGTCCTCTAAGGTGTTCCGACCTGGTGGGAAGGAAAAGAGAGAATAGGTCAGGTCCGTAGTCATTATTTAAAATTTTAAACATTGTGATTAAATCTCCTCTCTGCCTACGGTATGACAGTGAGAAGAGATTTAAACTATCTAGTCTTTCCTCGTATGATAAGTTAGCTATGCCGTGAACCATACGTGTTGCCTTCCTTTGAACACTTTCTAGAATGTGTGAATCCCCTTTTAGACACGGACTGGCGGCCTGGATGCAGTTTTCCAGTCTTGACCTAACCAGAGATGTGTATAAGGAGGTGAACATATCTCTGGTAATTCTTGTAAAGGCTCTGCGAATCGCCCATAAGGACCTGAAACTACGTGCAGCCACCGCGCGACAGTGTGCTGTAGTTTTTAAGTCGTGGCTAACTATGACACCTAAGTCCAAGTGAGTCTGAACTGATGGAAGTGTTATTCCCTCTAGTTCGTAGGAGCTCGTGCTTGCTTGTCCAATGCGCATGGTTGCACATTTTGCCACATTGATCGGGAGCATCCATTCAACAGACCACTCCGACAATTTGTTGAGGTCCTCTTGCAAGGTGAACGTATCACTGTTGCCCTTCAGCTCTCTCCAAATTTTTAAGTCATCTGCGTATAGGACCATAGGGGAGTCGGTGAGCAGAGGTAACTCATTGATATACAGAATAAAAAGGAGAGGACCGAGAACCGTGCCTTGTGGCACTCCGCTACTTACTGCTGTCCAGGAGGAGAGTTTTGAGTTGATCCTAACCCTCTGCCTCCTATCTATGAGGAATTCCCTGAGCCAGTCTAGTAGTCTGCCTTTGATACCAAGACTTTCCAATTTCATGAGTAGTCTTTTGTGAGGTACTTTATCAAAGGCTTTACTGAAGTCTATGAAGACGACGTCAACGGGTCTTCTGTTGTCCTTTGATTTGACCCAGCTTTCTCTTGCAGTCAGGAGATTTGACAGGCATGAGAGGTTCCTCCGGAAGCCATGCTGTGCTCCAGATAACAAGCTGCTATTTTCCAGATAAGCCATGATGCTTTTCTTGATAATTCTTTCCAGTGTCTTGATTAAAGTGCTGGTGAGACTGATAGGCCTGTAATTTGAAGGGCTTTGTCTTGATCCTCCTTTGTGTATGGGGGTTACTATGGCGTCTTTCCAATCACGTGGCAACACTCCATTTAGGAGAGATAGCTTGAAGATCGTGGTCAAGGGGCCGGCTATGTGGGCTGATAGCTCCTTGAGAAGCCTTGGATGAAGACTGTCAGGACCCATTGATTTTCCTGCATCTAGTTTCATTAAGAAGTTGAGCACGATGCCTTGGTCGATGTCAACGGAATCTATCCCATGTTCTTCTGATGCAGCCAGAGCTGATCCTATAGGCAGTGATGACTCCTGAGTGAAGACTTGGGAGAAGTAGTTTGCCATTGCTTCTGCTTTTTCTTGATCTTCTTCGATTGTATCTTTGTCAATAATCAGGTTTGGGACACCATTGGGTGTTTTATTCCTGAAATTCAAGTACGAGAAAATTTTCTTAGGTTGTGCCTTTGCATTTTGGGCCAGGTGTGTCTCGAACTTCATCCTTGATTGGCGGATTTCTGCGATAGCTTTATTTCTAGCAGTAGTATATAATTCCCTGGTCTCAGAAGTCTCAAGTGTTGCAAACAGGTTCCAACATTTGCGTTTACGTCTGAGTAACTTACGAATCTCCCGGTTTATCCAAGGGGGGGAATGTTTCCGACCCTTTGGAACAGACCAAGGGATGAAGGGTACAGTTACTTGGGCGTAAAGTTGCTTAAATTGGTTCCATGCGGCTTCTACTTGGGACTCTGGATTGATGTACCAGTTTACTGAGTTGGCTGCTGAGACGATCGCATTTATGTCAGCTTTCCAAACGTTTGGTCGAGCTGGGGTTTTGGCCCTTGCTGCCGTTGCTGTGAACTTGAAAGTGAGCACAGCATGGTCACTTCTTCCTAACGGAGGAAGATGTTGTATGAGATCCACATCCTCACCGTGGGAGAACACTAGGTTCAGAGTTGACGAGGAGTGCAGTGAGTCTTAGCGGGTGGCCTTAATGATATGTTGGACCAGGGCTAGTGCCAGCCACGACTCATAAACCGTTAATGCCCAGCTCTTGCTACGCTCGGGCCCACGCTGTTCCTTGAAGATTTCAGAAACGCTTAGTAATAACGGACGAAAAAATCAAAGGACCGATTGGTGACTCGAGGATTCTTTATTGCTACACCAACATATAAAAATAATGTTTTTACTAGGGTCTGTGAACAAATATTACAATAATAAATCACAATATTACTTCTGATGGTGTACTGCTGACTTCTTTCTGAACAGCGACCGATGAGACGATGACTGTCGTATTGATGCCTCCGCGAAAATTGGGGAAGTTGGTTTTGAGCAAACAACCATCAATTGATCGTTCAATCTTCACCTCCATTGACAGCTAGCAATATACTAGATTCTAGCAGTTTATGATTAAATGAGTTGACTGAAGTTGGAGTTGTTAGGCTCGACCGGTCAACTTTTGGGGCGTTGAAGTCGCCGACTACGAGACTTCGACATTTTAAATTCCAGGAGCCTAGCTTCTCTATTAGGAATTCGTCTACATTTCAGTCAGGACTGCGGTACACAGCAATGAGGTCAATGTCTTGGCCTATGCATTTAAGTCTGCAGCGTAGAATTTCGCAAGACTCACTTTCGTGGGCGAGTGCTTCGATACTACGCACGGTTAAGCCTTTCTTGATGTAGATGACTACGCCACCTCCTTTGCGGTTTAGTCGGTCTACCCTGTGCACTTCGAAGTTTGGCAGGTTAACTTCGTTGTCAGTGACATCGGGTGTGAGTCATGTCTTTGTGATAATAATTACATCATGGTTTCCGGTTTCTATCATGTTAGCCAGCTCAGTCCTTTTATTTAACAGGCTGCGGGCGTTTGTGTAGCAGACTGTTAATTCAGATTGATGCTTCCGCGGCCCATCCACAGAGGTTTCGGGATCATTAAACTGCGAACTCGGACAACCCAAAAACCCTCGATCTTAAGGTTCTTCTCACCGTTCCGGCGTCGCTCACTTAATTCTAGTGACGCAGCCTGTCTTTTGACACGGTCTGCTAGGCTTAAGTCAGCGCGGACATATATCCCTGATCCTTTGAGAACATGAGAGTTGCTAGGAATAGCATCCCTCTCTGCTTTAGAGTTTATTACGACTTTGAGGAGACGTACAGGTTCACTTACTGTAGGGTCAGGCTTTTGGCCTATTCTGTATACGCTGTGTATAGTAATGCCTGATACTGTTTGTGGCAGTAGCTTGAACGCATGCTAGTCGTTGGCCAACGGTCCCTGTCATCATCATAGCTGAAATATCAACCCTATTCATCATATAAGGAGCAAGTTTCACCCAGATAACACTTTTAATTACTGTTTGGACAATGTGTTAACATCTCGTTGGGGTTAGGATTAGGGTTAAGGCGAGTTTTGGGGTTAGGGTTAGTGATACGGTCATAATTGGGATTAGGGTTAGATTTACGGCAGGATAAGGATTGTCATTAGGGTTAGGATTAAGGTTAGGGCTAGTGTGAAATTTAGGGTTAGGGTCCGGATTAAAGCTAGGGTTGAGATTAGGAATAGATTTGTCGTTTATTTCAAGTTGTTTTATTATCCTCATTTCCCTTGTATGTAGTCGCCAATGCTCTTACTGGAACCATAGTAACTAAACCGAGGGCTTAGTAGAGGACTACACAATAAGAGAAGAGAGATGAACCATTCCCAAAACAGCACACCTTCAGTCACTTTGGTGAATACATCTACCGAAACTAGTCCAAATTAGCAACTGATACTCTTCATCGCAACTGGGACGTATTTTTAAGTCATGTCAGAGAAATATAATCCGTTCAATTTGTTTCCATGCATTTTCTTGTGAATATACGTCATTTTTCGTGCAAAAATTCCTCATTTTTATGATTGGCTGGCTGAAGGTCACTCTTGCGTTCTCATCGCTTGGGACGCTATTGTTGAACTTTGCCGGTGTAGGTTCCTGATCTTCGGTAAACTTCTGCGTAGCTCGTCCCGCCACTCAACAGTCGTAGCTTCGGGCGACTCCCAAAGGAGTAGTGCTGGGATTAATTATGTGTGGTTTGTAGTATGAGGTGTGTTAAGACTGTTACCACTGTGAATGGAGTTAACCCTTTACCAGTTAGTCCTTCGGTATAATAATTAGTGAAGTTATTCAGACTAACAGACAGAAAAAGAAATAAGAAAACGTAACAACAGTCAGCTCATTAAGTTTGAAGAATAATATATATATATATCGGTAATAGTAATAATAATAATAATGATTATAATATTAATAAGTTGTCAGGAGAGTAAGACGGGAGAGAACATAAAGAAGTAAAACGACAAGTTCAATAGTCTTCCCTTGAATGGTGTATGGGATTTTAAGCGGATAAGCCATTTGGACTCGGTCCTTGTGTCGCCGCAGGATTTACCAGCCTTCGTTTAAAGGTGTCCGCAGACTGTGCCAAAGCTACATCTGCCGGTAAGGAATTCCAGGGACGGCAAACCCGTAGTGAAAA